TTATTGCGGACGCAGTGGCCTACGACAAACATTGTCTGATAACTTTTTCGGTTTAAACCCGACCGCTACGAAACTTTGAGAAAATCTGCAGCCATCTTTGAGGAAAGTTCAAGAAAGTACGTAAAATTGAAGCGCAAGTGGACCCCACTTTATCAATTTTGCCTTTAATTTCTACTATCAGGTTTTTAATGATATTTTTATTTTAGCAAATATTGAATGAGGCTGAGTATGACCTGAAGATTTATGCAGATCGAGGAGGATGTTATCCGCCGAGTTAAGGTGGCTCGGTAGGGATTTTGAGGGCCAACGCCTCCCAAGTTTTAGCATAAACTACGTCGTCTCTAACAAAGATTTGGAATAACTCGTCCAAGACGTTGAAATGATGGATCAAGCGATAGCAGACTATAAGCAATTAGATCAGTGATCAAAAGTAACTCGGATTCCCTTTCGTAGTGAATATTTCACTCTGCCGGATTAGTTTTGTACATTTTTAGTTTGAGATGTGTCGACGTCGTTTTAGAAGTGACATATTGTGAATAATCATTAGATTGATATCCGGCCCTATGATGAACCTTTCTTATAGGCAATTAATTAATTGGGAATTGACAGCCGGGTTGGCCCTCTTTTCCAATTTGGCTCGGTGTTTTATGAAGATGAATTTCAGCCTGATATTACATGAGGCAAGCTAGCCTGGCGGGACAAGCCAAGTTTTGGCGCAAAGGTTTTAACATTGGACCCAAGCCCCTGTATTTAGGCTCTATAAGTGACACAATCCTAGATGTCTCTATAGTCTTTTGTTTTTGTTTTTAGAGCCGGTCTGAACGTTTTGTAGTTTCTTTACCATTCAGGCAGTTTTCAGAACAGAAGGACTGGATGCCTTATTTTCCCGTTTTGTTTTGTTTGTTGGATGGCGTATGATGAACATGTTTTCCTCGTTTTTTGTCAAAAAGGGATTTTGTGTACCGGTATATTGAAAGTGTGGTGTTTAGAGAATAACCTATGTGAGAAATACGCTTTTACTTGGAATCTTCCAGCCCTTAACACTTCTCCAAGTAATTGCATAACTCAAAATTAGGCGCTGAGCCGTTTTACGTCAATTTGATTTAAAATAATCAATAGTAATGTGCTTCTGATTTTAAGCTCTTCGCAAATATAGACTTGAAACGAAACAGCTACTGGGTAGCTAGGAACACAAGTATGTTCGCTGCAACAGCGCTTCGAGTTTTGGGTCGGATCTGAAATAAAGTAGGAAAAATCAGATATTGTGGTTTGAAAAGCTTTCAAGTTGCAAGAAGCACGCTGCACAATCGCACGGTAATTTTTAGGGAGTTATTATAACTCCAAAAATGGAGTAAAAATTTTAGGTACAGGATAACCCCTTTTTTGGGGTTATTTTAACTCCTAATTTAACTCCGAATTTGGGGTCATTTTTACTCCTGAAAAAGAGTTCTTTTTACTCCCAGTCTTGGAGTTAAAATTACTCCGAAATGGGGTTACTTGTACTCCTTACAGGGGTTGTTTTTACTCTTTTTGGAGTTAATTTAACTCTGAAAGTGGAGTAAAAATTTTAGGTACAGGATAACTCCTTTTTTGGGGTTATTTTAACTCCTCAATATCTGGGGTCACTTTTACTCCTGAAAAAGAGTTCTTTAAACTCCTTTTTGGAGTTAAAATAACTCCACGAAAAATAACTCCGCTGTAAGGAGTTAAATTAGCCCCACTAGAGGAGTTATTATAACTCCCTGAAAATTACAGTGCGGTTAATGGTATTCTGGTAAATTTTGCGCGATCATGACCTTCCATGAAAAACTCGACATCAAGAACTTAAAGTTTTGTGTTTGGCAAGCAACCTCTATGAGAATAAAAACATTCGGTTTGTTAGAATTGAAATAAATCTCAGATAAATTTCAAGCCTTGCATTGGTATTGGTGGAGGAGGAGATGAATTCTTTAGTAATTCAGTTTTCTTCTTTGACCAATCATCGGTGCTTTCTATCTGTAATGACGTTTCAGTGAACAATCTGTACGGATTTGCGAAATTGCTCAAGCCCAGTTTGAACTTTTCTGCACTTTCTCCACCATTCACACAGTTTGCAGAACAGAATGACTTCTTGATGCTATATTTTCCCATTTATTGTGTGTCTTTCATTGCTTTGTCTGTTGGAAGGCGTTTGATAAACATGTGTCAAAAGAGGGACAGTCTAGATAATTGTGTTCATGTTTCTCCGAGAATTCTAGATGGTGGAATAAAAGTTGTCGCTGCCCCAACGCCTTCGTCGGAAGTAGAGGATACGCAGATGCATAAGGATGTGGGGGGTGAAATACTTGCAGGTGCAGCTGCACCCGGTGAGTGTGCAAGTTGTCGTATTTCTTATTTTTTCTTATTTGTAACATGGTCGTACTTATAATAACTCGTCCAAGATGTTGAAATCATTGATCAAACGGTAGCAGACTATAAGCAATTAAATCAGTGATCAAAAGTTACTCGTATTCCCTTTCGTACTGAATCCTCCACTCGGATTAGTTTCGCACATTTTAAGTTTGAGATGTGTCGACATCGTTTTAGAGGTGACATATTGTGAATAATCATTTGATTGATATCCGGCCATTGACAGCCGGGTGGGCCCGCTTTGCTAATTTACCGCGTTTTTTTATGGAGGTGAATTTCATTCCGGTATCACATGAGGCGAGCTAGCTTGGAACAAGCCACAATCAGGCACAAAAGTAGTTGACACTTAAAACGGGTGCTTTTATCAGACTTTTAATTCATTTATTATTTCATTCCTTTTAAACGCCGTAAATCCCCTCACCCCCGGATTTAATGTTGTCTGAAGTAAAAGAAAGGCATGAGGGTCCAAAATACAACATTGATTTTGGGGGGAAGGAGTTGGGGTAGACATGGGAAGGGGATAGCTAACTTCGACACTTCGCACTTGACATTTTACCGACTTCCTAAGCGTGAAACTTGCCCGTTTTGTCGGAGAAAATAAAGTGATTTCTTGCGTGGAGGAAAAAATCTTCGATGCCCAAGGTGACGCTTATTTATCTGACGCATTGAGTTTGACTTCACCTTCACAGCATATAGCACGCCCATGACCAGCGTCGAAGAGAAAATAAAGCGTGGCTTCTTGCGTAACGAAAACGTTTTTTCGACGCAACAGGTTACGCTTATGTTTCTGACCCAACAGGTCACACTTCACTTTCATGCCATGTGGCACGTAGCCTGAGTATCAGGCCTTCCTAAGGGGCTAGGGGAGAGGAGATTTTTCGCTTCCATCTTTCCTCTTTTCCCCAGAAACGCCTGATACTCAGGCTATGTGGCACGCCGATGACCACAATTGCCTTTTTGGCAAATTTCTTTTTACTAGAAAAAAATATATAGATGAAATGACAATCAACGACCAGCGCGTAATAGACTCTGCTTGTTTGGAAAATGGCGTTCAGAATTAACGCTTTTCTTACGCACAATATCATGGACATTATAGACGTACGAAACGCCCGCATAGTGTTTCGGGAAATTGTAAACACATTAAACCTCTTAGCTCTATAGTTTTTTATCTGCAGTTTGAAGTCAAAATGCTCAAATGCTATGCTAACACATTTGTGAAAGTTGACGCACAAATGGTGTAATTGGTGTACCGAGAGACTTATTTTTAAAGACCCGTTATAAAAGTAAAGCCGTTCACCTTTTTTCATTTACTACAGTTAAAATGAGATGGTTATTGAAGTCCATGATTTCTAGAGAGCAGAAATAGTTGTGTGCTATGTTAGTTTCTATTTTCTGACGATGTACCATAAAGCCACGGTCTACCATCCGCAACAGTAAGAAGTATGAAGTATCATTGTATTTTTCTCATGGGATTTATGTTTAATTTATTTTCTTACTTTTCCTTCTTGGTTGTAAACTTGTTTATTTCGGAAGAGCCTTAGAGATGAGGGTATTGTAAGTTTTAGTAAATACGAAGAACCCATAATGTACTTTAGGAATTTAATCCGACTTAGCACTTTTCTTGGTCACTTTTTTCTTACCCCGTCCTTGTGACCCCATTCTACATGTTCTAGGAACTTTATGGAAAATGCAACCCCATTATAGTCAATCCAGTAGTGAAAATGTGACCCCATTCAGCGGCACATCTCCATTAGCCTACTACTTGGAAGAGCCCCCCGGCTGTCATATGATATTCCTATATTTTTTACTTTGGGTGAGCCCACTAATGCTTATTAAACGTGCTAATTAATATTGTTGGGGGACGTTTAGCTCGCTTGGCCAATTAACGGAGGTACCAAGACTCTATTATTTTACTTCGCAAACTTTTATTCTTCCTGCGGCTTCAACAGCTTCTTTACTTCTACAATGCTTCTACAATGCTTCTACTACTAGCAAACCCATCACCAATGAGTTAAATAATAAAACTGTAGACGTGTTTGGGTTTGCTGACCGTGAGAACTTTCCATTGGATATCCTGTCGCTTTACAAGGGAAGAATAGAATAGTCTACACTGTAGTAATTGGCAAGTACCAAAGAACCAATTAAATGCTAGCGCTAAAACTTCACACAAGGACCAAGTATACAAAACGGGAACTTCAGTGTTATTAAAACTCAAGATCAGCTTTTGTCCCCGAACATGCGTACTTCAAAGAACTACAATTAAGTTTAATAAATCCTTCAAGTAGACGATACTACTCAAAAACTCAGGAACTAACCGTGTGGGCTATACATTTAATTTCCTTAGACTATGAACTGTTTACTAAGAAACTAGCACGTACCACAAAATCAGTAATTATTCTGATGCCCTAAACATAGGAAAAACCTTTAAAGTACCACAACCCCAAAATAAAACTGACAGCATTGACTCCGTAACACGTGCTAATTTATATCAATATCCTAATGCCCATCGTTATTTCTCCACAGAATATTCACCAGAGCAGCTTAATTACTTGAGGATGTGTTTGATTGTATTTGATGTTGTGGCCAAGGGACTGAGAATAATCTTTAAAAGGGAATGGGATATTCGCTTTAAGAAAACGCTTGGAAAATGGATGGATAAACCTACGAATGGAAGAGACTTCTGCTCTATGGAATCTCCGAGAAACCAACAAATGCGTGCCCGTCTGCTAGCTACAATGATAAACGGCAATACTGAAGAATGGGATCTTCTCATGCTCTTCTATGCTATCCTTTACTCAGAGAGTCTTGGACGCGGAATTAGTGCAGAAGTCCGTTCAGCAGTGGATGATCTCAGAAATCTTCGCAACGAACTTGCTCACTCTGCCCAGGCCCGGGTCTCAGATTCAGACTTCTTTTCTCTCTTCAACAGAGTTATTCGTGCTTTTCAGTCACTCGGTCTCTCTCCTCTTCCGCTAAGAGGCGTGGTAGAAGAGGACCTTGCAGGTAAAAGTTGTTTGAGCTTTCATAGAGCCCTTTCACTCCGGCAGTCAATATGGAGAGGAGGGGGAATGTGTTGTTCTAACTTCGGAGTCTGTAGATAAAATCGTTTGATGTGGTCATGTAAATTAACTGAAGCACTACTTGCATACGGTCCTTTCGGTTTTTATAATTTTACAAAATCAAATTTCGAATTTTTCTCAAATTTTCACAAGGGCCACTGTTAGGAATGAAAGTATTATTAGGAGGTTTATTTTTCTTTTTTGATATAATCAGTGCAATGTAAAACCGTTTACAGCATTTTGTGATTTATATCCTTTACCATAATTTACAAAGAGGATTGCAGTTTCATTTTGTCAAGGTCGGGAACAAGATTAGTATATAATACTATTGTTTTTCGTTTCGTTCGTAAATGATTATGCTTGCCTAAATGAACATAAACTACAAATACAAAAGAAAATAAACAAACAAACATAAATAGCTTGTAAAAAGGAAAAAAAACTCATTACAAATCAGCACATAACAAAAACGCAAGGAAGTAAAATTCCTCTTTCCCGAAGAAATCCCTCTGAATGTTTAGTTTTATAGTTAGAAGTGTAAGAAAACTGTCGAAAGAGTAGCGATTCGTTATTAGTCCTTCCTTATATTATTGTCGAAACCTCCATGTACAATCGTACTGTTTGATAATGCGAGTTTCTTCAATTTTCTTGGTTCACCAATTCTTCCAAAAGGCTATAGCTAAGGAACAGAGTAAAAACAGTGATTTAGGGCTGTGTATTATACGTCCCGAATCGCCGACTGGGCACTTTCTTTTGCGTAATGTTCATAACTATTTCTCTTTTTTCTCATTGACGTAGATCTAACGACTAATTCTTCATAACCAGCCAGCTTTGGCCATAATTTTTTAAATTTTGCTTTCGTATTATATGAAGAATTACGCAATGCAAGGAGGGTGCTATCCGCTTGGGCTTCCTCGATTTCAATAATTCTTCATATCATGCGAAAGCCTTGTTCTTCGTTTCTTCGTTTCTCTCCACAGAATGTTCAACAGAACAACTCAACTACTTCAAGATGTGTTACCTCGTCTCTGATGTTGTGACCAAGGGACTGAGAATGTTGTTTAAAAGGGAGTGGGATTTTCGCTATGAGAAAACGCTTGGAGAATGGACGGATAAACCTAAAAATGGAAGAGACTTCTACTCGATGGAACTTCCAAGGAGCCGTAAAACGCGTGCCCATGTGCTAGCTACAATGACAAACGGCAATACTGAAGAATGGGACATCACCATGCTCTGTTATGCCATTATGTATTCCGACAGTATTGGCTCTTCGTTAAGTCCAGCTGTTAGGTCACAAGTGGATGTTTTGAGAAACGTTCGCAATGAGACAATGAACAGCTCACGGGCTAGCCTGTCAGTGGCAGACCTTCAAGACATCGTTCAAAAAGTTCACTTCGCTTTTAGATGTCTTGGTCTTTCGACACAACTAGTCCAAGACCTTGAGAAGCAAACGTTCCAATTTGAGCCGACAGAGGGAAGTTACGATGAAAAACAGCAATTGGAAAAACAGGTGGAAGATCTTGAATTCGAGGAGCAAAAAGATGTTTCCTCATTTTGCCGGCTGCCATTAAAACCTCCACTGGACATTATAGGTCGAGAAAGTGATAAAGAGAAAATTGTTCAAGAACTTCAGAAGCTGAAGAAGAACAATGAAGTCGGCCTAAGTTGTCTAATCATATCAGGAAGGCCTGGAAGTGGGAAGTCGCAGCTTGCAAGACAGGTAGCTGAGAGTTTTTACTACGATGCTACAAAAATCACCGACGTCCACGCATTTGTTATGACGCTGAATGCTGAAAGTTCTGACAGCCTTTTGGAATCATTCACCTCATTTGCCAAACAGATGAAATGCTCAGAAATTGAAGTTAACAAGGTCCTTGTATCCGAGGACGAAACGTCCGATGAGAAAATAATCAGGCTAAAGAATCTGATCCAGGAAAGAATCCATCTTTACGCGACATGGCTCTTGGTCATCGATAATGTAACCGGTGTCCGTAACATTCTCATGTCATTGCCAGGGGCTGGAAATGCATTGTGGAAAACGGGACAAATGCTAATCACAACCCGTGACACCGTCGCTGAACTGCCCGAGGATACTTTCACGTCTCACATCTCAATAAATCAAGGAATGGAGCCCAATGATGCTGTATCTTTAATGGCCTCGGTCTCCGGTACTGGTGACAAAGAAATGATTGCAAAAGTGGCAAAGGAACTGGATTTTCAGCCCCTTGCTTTGGTGAATGCTGCGACGTGCGTCAAACACGATTGTCAGAGCAATGAAGACCCCAATCTTGCCTGGACAGAGATCCTCAATGCACTGAAAGCAGACAAGGAACAATCCGTTTTTGCTGATGTTTCTACACCCGAGTCGAGTATCGTCAAATCCACAGATGTAGTAATACGTCTAGCGGTTGAAGAACACATCAAAAACGATGTCATAAAGCTTGTCTTCACCTTCCTGTCCTTGTTCAAACGAAAAGTGTTTGATTTACATGCGTTGATCACTTACGTTCAGAATGTACTAGAAGAACGCCAGGATAAAGAAGAGATTAGGAAGAAGAGTGAGTCCCAAATTAAAGCCTGCCCACTACTGTTGCTTGAAGAAGAGGCAAATAACGTTAAGATTGGTGTTCACCAAGTTGTGTTTAATAGTATTAAGTCCACACTCAAAAAGCGTTCGATTCCTGATAGTCAGATTCGTGCTGCTGTTAAGTTATCTTACCAAATGGAAATTGATCCTTTTGAGGAGAGTTCAGACACGTTAGAACTCGTTGACGATGAACGCTTCATTCCATTTTTTTAAAGTTACTTATCTGTAATTGAGGGTGCTCGTGTAACTTGAGGTTGGGACAAATGGCTGGAATTATCGTTAGTATCACAATGTTTAGACGAGAAGTACTGCTGAGATCATGTATATATTAGCGGCCATTTCTAAGGAGTAGCCCTACGGAACCTCCAGTCATCATCATGACCAGAATCCCTACGGCCATTTCGCGGGTCTTTTTCCCTGGCCATCATTAGGGCTAGTGCAAATAGGACCTTATTTCCTGACTGCGGTCAAGATAGTGTGACTTCCAAAAAAAGCTTAGCAAAATAATCACTAAGCCCCCCAATTTCACTGTGTACAGACTGATTATTGACCAATGTGCGGCTGATTTACTAAACTTTTTAGAATTTAGGAAGTTTAGTTTTAAAAATTTCAAATATTGGAAAACCTGCGGGCTTGTTGTGAAATTTGTTTTTGCGCGAGGAATATTTTCCAAAAAATGATATTCGTTATTTTGATAAAAGTACAACTGTTCCTTACATCCTTGCGCGTCGTCCTTCCACATAATAGCTGATAAAATGATACTCTATGTATATAAAAAAAAAAAAACGCCTCAGACATTTGGCCACAGTGAATTTAAAACCTTTATTTCCAGACAGTAAAGGAAATTGTAATGGAGATAGCAGTGTACAGGATACAATATATGCTAGCTGGTGTCCCCCCTAACTCCTAGGATGGCCACTAATGATTACATTAAACATGTTTCGTTGCGTTTGGTTCTTTTTGCCGTTCTAGCTTAAAAATCTCCGCTTTTGTAGTGGAAAAGGGGTTTGTATTCTACTAACTATTTTGTAATCTTTTGGTTTATGGGTTTTAGGACCCAGGTACGCACGGCTGGAGAGCTTTAGGATACTTAAAAAAGTGAAACTTTTCCTAGCAGTTTAGTTACACTTGCCTTCATTTACCTTAAATATTCAAAAACATATTGAAGGATATCTTCACCTGTAGTTGCGTGTTTGCGGGCAGTTCTGGGGACTTTGTGTGTACGCTGTGTTATGCGTGCATAAATTAAAATATATATTTTTTCAGTTAATGAAATATTCTCATTAAGCATTTTTGTTTTTGTTTCTCAATGACTTCTGAGAAGTCAAAAATTTCAGTCATTTTATACATGAGTTAACGTCTTATTCGACGTGGCAGTGTCACTTGAAGTTAGTATTAATAGGTAGGTACTTTTTAACCATTTATATGTATAGGATGTAATCGTAGGTTTTTATTCACAAGACATGTATTGTAATCATCATTGTCCGGTAAATCTCAAAGAGCAAAGGCTTTTTGAAGCAATTATTCCTCCTCCCGACAATTACCAGAGCAACAAAAAAAGTGGGAATAAATCGGAAAAGGAAAAAAATTGTCCCAGAAAATTTTATTGTTTGCAGTAGGAAAGTAAATAGGAGAATATTATTGATAATAGCCTATAGAGCACAGTAACTTACATTTATTATAGGACATGAGTCAATGTCTGATTCTCTCTGGAACAGTTGAAATTAGTATTGTTAGACTTGAAAATTGTAGATTATTTTATTGCTTATTATCACTAAATAGTAAAGGCTAATATTAAAAAGGAAAAGTTTTTGTTAGTTTAATAGGAAAGTAAATAACCAAATACAAAACATCATAGGCTTGACTAGAGTACATTAAATTAGATATCTAGCTTCCTTATATGTTCAGTTGTAACTGTCAGTACGAATCGTTCTTGTAGTAAGAATTCGTTGATTGGCGAGCATGTAGTAGTATTTAGTTTAGTGTGTCAGTATATTACGTCACAGGAGGCGAAGAGGAGATTAATTTGCTAGGCGTATTTGACTTAGTGCGATTTATAAAGATCTGGCTGAATCAGTGGAAATATTTTTCTTTTAGCTGCCTAAAGTAGTGACAGCGGACGTTTAAGAGAACATTTTGAGGCTTGTTTCCGCGAAAAACCTACATTTTCAAGCTCGGTATTTTCACTTAGGGGGCGCCAAACTTCACTTCATTGACCGAAACAAGTACAGCCACTTCTGATAAGCTGAAAAGAAAGCGTTTTTGTAACAAACTTGACATTAAATTTTGATCGTAGTAGCACTTTAACAGGGGAAATTTAACCAAGGAAAAATGAACCAGAAGCGTCTACCAATTGCAGAATTAAAAAGAAGGTAGAAATGAAACGGTCCCCAATGGCAGTGCTTATTTAACTCAGTCGTGAAAGAGTCATCTGCTCCGTGACTCGAGCTCTCAGGCAGGACAAAATGTATTTAGCTCAAAAAGTGCACCAAAAAGATGAAGGAGGCTCCGGGTGAGTGGAAAAACGAGAAATAAGATTGTTGTCTTCCCGTCTTACTATTTAAATTTTCTTGCGAAAATTCCATTTGTTTTACAGGACAATTGGTATAAAACCCCCGATAAGCAGGATGGAAAGACTTTTTCCAGAAAACATTGATTTTAGCTTAGTGGGTAGTACTTAAGATCTCAGGACCAAGCTGCTTCGTTCGGTTACTTGAAAATGTCTTCGTCGAATGTTTTTGCCCGCGCAGCAAATTAAACTTCTCTTAGCTATTGCATGCATTAATTTGTTAGAAAGATTTCACATATTATGATGGAAGCTTATCAATGCGACCGTCAAGGACCGTGAATAACTGGCCTCAAAATAACCGAAGCAAGGTGGTCTTAGTTACCTTTAATTCCCAAAAGTGACGAACACAAAGTTTCTCTTAACAATGTCAAAAAATAATCAAGACGAGGTTATGAGAATCAATAAAATGATCGCCTGAGGGAAGAGGCTTTGATCGTTAGTTAAATTATTTCAACTACTTTTCTAAGAGCTTCTAAGGAAATGTATAGAGATCGGTCTGGAGAATTTGTATGTCGATATTGGGGGCTTAGAGGGTTAAGGCGGGGTTTGATTTCTATTACTTGCTATCTTTTGAAAATTTTAAGTATTAGTACCGGCATTTTCATTATATGGAATTCGTATTTTAATGATAGCCTCCCTCGTTCGTAAATGCAGGGTTCGTACAGAGTCTTGAATTCTGGAATATAGAGATTAAGCCTGGCAAAAATGGTAAAAAGTCTTGAGTCTTCTTTTTTAAGCTAAAGCGAGTGCTTTATAAGTTTTTTTTTTCGTTTTGGTCAAATCTTATTCAATCTCGCAGATATGTTTGCAATGCACCACGAAAAAAACTTTGTTCCTGCGTCTTTTAAGGTCTCTATCACGGATCACCTATTTGATAACCTTAAGTCTGGAAAAAGAAATTATTGTTTTGGAAAAAAAAGTCTGCACTAAGTCTTGAATTTTGGATCCAAAACTCTGTACGAACCCAGTAATAACACATTTTAAGGGGCTTCGTTTGCGCGGTGTGGGAAGGGCATAAAACCTCCCTTAAGCGCTTACGTGGTAGTTAGAATAATTGCCAAAGAGGCAACCGAGCTAAGAAGCGAGGTAGACTCGGCGGCAGATTATAACGCCGCGCAATGTGGGCAAAACCCCTCAAATTCTGCGTAACCCTCTAAAATTTGCATTTTGACCATATTTGGGTGTAAGTAAGACCCCATATTTGAGCAGTGACGTCATGGTCTTGTATTTATAACTCGCGGTTTGAAATTGCGTGGTCCAGTGTGCAGCTGTTCGTTGTCCATGGGAGAAGGTCGATGACCTAGCAGGTGAGAAAGTTTTAATACGATTTCTAGTTTGAAAAGGCTATTAGTGGTTGGGTTTGCTTTATAAATTGCGTTTGAAGCAGCAGCTGATCAAGGAATAGGGTTTTACGCTCAAATTTTTGTCAGAACCAGCTTGTTCTTCGCAGGCTTACATTCGAGCCAGCGTGTTTGCTTTACACATTCTCTATTCAGAACCAGGGTTTGCAGTGCTCTCTTTTCCTTAAAAGCGGTAGCTGATCAAGGAATAGGAATATACGCTCAAATTTTTATTAGAACCAGCGTGTTCTTCGTAGCTTGATTCGCATTGAACCAGCGTGTTCGCACCTGTGTGTTTGCCTGTCAATTTCGAACGAGGTGTTCTTTCGTCGACTGAGACGTTCTGAAGACTTACGAGGAAAGAAGCGAAGTGATTTATTTTTACATCTTTTAGCAGAAAAAAATCCTTAAACGCCAGCTTTGCGTATTAAATCAAGACAAACACCTGGTTTCCATTGCTTGATCACTGCGAGCGTTAAGGCGCATACCAACTTTGTCATGTTTCATGTTTACTGCTTCATGCTGATTGTATCACTCATTATTTGTGAAAGCAGTTGCTCCATAACTAAACCTCCGCGTTCTTGTTTAAGTGACGATTTACAATTACACAAAATTAGATGTTGTGGCCCGTGCTTATAAACGGTCACCTATTACAAACGGAAATATTTGTCTAGAAGAATTCCGTATGCTTCAAATGGTAGTTTTAATCCTTACATAATAACAAACGAGGAAGGACATTTGGTCAATGGAAATCCAGCATTGTCAAAGGATTCAAACCCCCCTAAATCTTCCCAAACCAAACCACATTTACAAGAACGTTTTGGTAAAGAAATATCGCAGTCATTGCCTCGTTCATTCCTCCCCGTTGAGCAAATTAATGCATTTCAAGAATTACTGCCTTGATTTTCCAGGAAAATTCTCATGTGCAATTGATTGTTTTATGGAGTTAAGCTGTTACATTTTTAAAGATGCTATTGAGTCTGTGGAACGTAATGAATTTTTTGAAATGTTATACACAGCATGTGTGCGAGCAAATAGTGGTGAAATCCTTTCCAACCAGTTACATTCAGTCCGAGAACCCATTTGGGTCTGGATGAGACAGCACTGTGCCTCTTTTACAGGTATGTCAGATAATGCTGTGTTCAGTGACATATTCCAAATCAATACATTTGGAGAATTAACGTTTGGTTTAAAATCATTATTTCTTATTTAACATACCAATCATTCCATTTGTTCAGAGTGTAACCAGGAAATCACCAAATCCACAGATGTTTTTGTCTTGTATATTACCTATCGCCATATAAATCAGAATGGTTTTGAAAGTTCTGTATCAGAAGCTACGCCGCCAAACATCAATAGACTTTTTTGCGTTTACTGCCAAAATCATTCTGGAAGTGTTGCTTCACTTCGACACTTTGTGTGCATTCCAACCTTTTTAATGATAGAATTGTCACCTGATTGTATAACTCAAATGTTTTTTCCACATGATATGGAAACCTTAGGAGTTTCATACTGCCTCAAAGGAATTATTAGGTGTTTAAATAGACATTTTACTGTTGCCTTAAAAAGTGAGAGCGGTTGGATCTATATTGATGATTTGTGTGTTTCTGTAAGGCGTTTCTTATCCTTTCAAGAAGTTTTGTATAGTTATCCGGATGGCTAGTTTTTTGCCATATTTCAAAAGTCTGAGTCGGTAGACATCAATTAACATGAATCTGAAAATCAGACCTGTAATAGCTTCACCGTAAATCCAGTTGTTTGCAAATCAGATTCAAAAGACTCTTGCAGTTCGAAAGAAGTGAAGTTAGACCAAAAAGTCACAAGTTATAAAAAGGATAACAGAGTCAAATGTAATAACCATATGAAGTGTTACAGAAAACAGCCAGAAGTCAAGGCAAAAAATAATGCATACATGCAGAAGTATAGAGCTAAAACTTATTCTGAACTTAACTTAAACGAAAGGGGCAAATTAGAAATACGTAAAAGAAATGAAAACCAAAGAAGTGATTTAGTAATTAAATTTACATTGAAGAGGAAAAGTCAAAGCATTAACTCCTCAAGTGATACATATTATGCAGATGAAAACATTAAACGACCTAAACAGGAAATAAGAAAAAGGTCTTCACAAACATCTAGTGAAGTGAAGGAAAGAAAAAAGTTGTACATGCGGGCATACAGGCTGAAGAAAAAAAATTCAGATAGTATTGAAATGACTGAAGGAGTAACAAGTCTGAAAAATAGAGTTTCTAGCCAGGAAATGTATTTATCTGAGTTTAAAATAAGTAACTGTGGAGAGCTTCACCAACAAGAGTGGGCAAAACTGAACATGCAAAAGTTTCATGACTCGATTAAGTTAAGAATTTCTTTATGTCAAGATAGATAGCATGTGTTATTGTGCTAACTATAATGATGATAATAGGGTTATTGTTGCTGTCACTGTAAGCGCATTGATGATCATACATCCTGAATTTGTTTGCTTTTCTTTCGTTTAGTAAACAAGTATGGGTACATCCAAAAATATCCCCCCCGTCAAAACCGCTGCAAGGTCCAGACATGATTGGTTTGACTTTCACCTGACAGTTTCACCGACTAAAGTGCAAAGAGTAGTTGGATTTGACAAAACAAAACATCCCAAGATCAAGCACTTCCAAGAAACCACGTCTCCCCTCTTGTTAAAGAACCTTCTTATACCAGATGATGAAGACAACGACTGGCTTTTCAACCAGCAATACCATTCTCCTATGTACCAAATTTTGTCAAGTCAGAACGTTCCGAATCAACATCACAGGAAGCGTCTGATGTCTCTTTACGAGAACTGAAAGAAATGGCGCCCAATTAGAAAGTCAACGTCCATGCAACTCTGTCAGTGGGAGCCCAGGAGCCAAACAAGATAGAAACCAAATCCAGTCAATCTTTATCTGTCAAAGAAGACTGCATATTGGAAGACAAAACGGGCACAATGGAACGCCACATATGGGAACTGTTATTTACACAACTGGAAAGCAACAAGGCCTATTACTTTCAAAACCTCACACTACGGTATTATCAAGGATCAAAATTCCTTAGCACCAACAGGAATACAACTTACAGTGAGGAAACTACAACTCTCAAAAAATTAGTGAGCCCAGAAATATTGACAAATCCAGAAAGAGAGATCATTGTAAGTCAACTAAAATATGTTGCCTGCAGTTTAAGCATTTTTAGTCCATGCCAACTTTGCAAAAAACGAATTGGGGATGAGTCGGGCGAGTCAGTGAGATGCCAAAACTGCAAAGTAAGACAAAGGATCATCAACTGCAGGCGGGAAGGCTCTGTCAAGCTGTGTATTCAACACAATGAATCGGAATTGTGGCTCACTGCATTTACAATTGAAATCGAAAACCTTCTGAAGAATACAACAGCAAGTATGAGCAGCACCATAGATGAAATAGAAGATGCCCTTATGAGCCTAAAGGATGTCAAATTGAAATACAACTCCCAACGGAACATTGTCAAAGAAGTACTAAACTTGTAATTTCCACAGGAAGTACTGTGGTACTAAACAAATCAACCATTTTGTGGACAAAGTTAAAGAATTCAAAAAAATGACATGTGAACTCTAGTGAAACAAAGTGAAAAAGAAACTGTTATTTAAGTTCGTGAAAAGACCAATACAATCAAAGCGTTCATAGTTTTGTTACCTACATTTTTTGCTATCTATAAGAACGTTATAAAACTTTTATATTTATTACTGAGACGTGCTACGAATTTAAAAAAATTCGTTTGTGCAAATTCAATTGTTGTATTTGTTGTTTCATACCCTGAAAGAAAACAGCCATATAGGCACTTAATACATTGATTTCAATAATTTCAAACAGAGCACTGCTGAAGTGTAGACAGTAGACATAGCTTGTTATTAACTTGTTCAAGTTCAATTTTCAAGGATTGGTTACCTAACGTTTATCGTTCAAATAAAATGAAATTTGCAGTGAAGATTTCGCTACCAAAGACGCTTTAAGCTTCTGTGACCAGGTTACCTAGAATGTACCAAAGTTGTTGTTTCAAACCCATCAGGGGGTTACTCAACCAATATTTAGGTATAGGTGAACCGCCGAGGTTTGAAACCCTGACCCTGTTTAGGACAAAAATATCCTTAAATACATACCCTCTTAGGTCAACAACGCCAATTATATACTCCGTTTAGGATAAACGAAAAAAGCGCCGTCGTGTTTAAAGCTATTTATGAATTTATTGGCAATTACTGTAGAGTAAAAACACAATAGGGGACGGAGAGGTCAAAAACCATACCCTGTCCAGCGGCACATTCCCGTATAGGCAATATAAGGGCGTACCACCCCACCCTTTTACAGTCCCTTTACAATCTCCTGTATTAATTCTTATTTTGGCTTTATTAATAATAGACAAATCAATTTAAAACCCCTAAAATTGTCCACCGATTCACGATGGACCGTTAGGCCCATCCCACAAAAGGTTATCGAATTCGCCTCGTTGGCGTTAAAAAAAAGGAAAATCTTGATGTGTGGCCATTATCTGTAGAAAACGAAGCGCTTTTGACTATGCAATTTCAATCTTTTTAAAAACGTTTGTGAAAGATCGTGGAGATAGCTTGCTAGAAAGAAGGATTTGATTAGTAGGTATCGAGGCGCTTTTGTTAGAGGTTTTGTAAACATTTCCGTCTACTTTAACAAATTAGCGAATAATTTTTATACCTGCCGATACATTTTTTTTAAAAATCAAGTTTCTTCTCGTAATTCAAACTGAGAATTAGTCAGTCAGCTTCTTCATTTTCAGACACATTGCTGATGCTATCTGCCATGCACTGTTCTTCAGTGGACATAATTCTAGAAAGTTACGCGGAAGTTTATTCTAATCAATTCACGACTGGAAATAGCCCATTCCAGCTAGTACAGTGTCCAACAATTAAAAACTACAAATATGTAAATCAACATATTATACCCTTTCCTAATAACCAGAAACTCATCACATGCTAGGCAACCACTGTCTCATGTGAATGATACTGGAATATTACGCCGACTTTAGATTAATATTCAGGTCTTCAAAATAATAAAAAAACATGGAAACGTCTTTAAAACTGGCTTTGCCAAAATTTTCTCTTGCTGCCCAAATAATCTGAGTTCCCCAAAATTTGGGTGGGGGGGAGGTGGGCTGCAGTCCCCTCGCCCTCCACCGGCCCGTACGCCTATGTATGTAGTGGCATTCCGCTGGTTCTCTACGCCTTGATATCCTCACAAGATGACGTAGTAAGTCGCTTGCTACAGAGGAGTTGTTCACCAGAGGAGAGATTTGAACACTTGAAGAAGATTAAAGTTGTCCCAGAGAAGAAAAAAAAAAACTTCTGCCTAGATGTTTGGTTTGATAGGAGCAGAACACCCTCGTGAGCCTGGCTCTTTTCAAAGGCTGGTTTTCACCGTCTGGAGCCGCAAAAGTATTTCAATCTGCACGTCAATCGAAGGTCAGTTGATTGGTCAAGTCTTGGAACTAACCAATCCCTCCCTATTAGTTCAAAATATCACTGCTCAGGGTATCGGCTGGTACACCTTTCTGTCACTCATTCGCAAGTACTGCAAAGGAAATTAAAGGAGGTGGAACAACGCTTTAGCCAAGTCTTCCACAGTGCTCGCAATCAGTGCATTGACTTCTTTCTGAACTTCTTGAAAGAGACCTTCAAGATGTTTCTGAGTAGGAATGCATTAAAAGTCATCACAGACCAGCAAGAAGAGGAAAACATCATGCAGCTTCTTGAGTGGCTTGACAAGGATCAAGTGGATGAAGAACGAATTATAGCATGCATTGATGTATTTAATATGGTTGGGAAGTTACTTGCCAAGATGATGAGTAGGAGGAACTTTAAATCAAATTAAGTACGATTTGCTAAAGAATAAATGTGAAGATAAGGGTGATCAACAGCGACTCAGTGATCGAATACCTAACTTCCCTGGGAATCAAAGAAGTGTTCAACTGTTCCTGTACACCTGGCCTGTGCGATGAGGCCAGTAAAAGAGCAAAAACGTATCTTGAGAAAGCTGACAGGATTCAGAATGACCTGGAAATCACCACTGGTAATAGCAGGGCTCAGTGTCTCTCAAACCTGGCCGATGTCTCGCGAAACAACGCGATCCAGAGGAAAGCCCAAGATAAAAGAAACTATTCGCATTCGATTAAACGACTACAGTGATGAGGACATATGCAGGGTCATGCTTGGAGCTACATACAACGATATGGCAGGTGAGTTTGGTGGCTGTCGACCTTAGCTCTTGCGGACAGGGTAGCTTCCTCAGCTGCATTTCCAGTGGCGGATCCAGGGGAGGGGCCCCCTTATTTTTAGACCAAACTAAGGCTGGAAGGACCAAAAAAAATTATTTGGAGACCGGGCACTCCCTTATCTCAGAGTCTGGATCCGGCACTGATTACTGTCTGCTTTCCTGGTCATTCCTTACGATGTTAGCACATTCCAAGACAGCTGTTCAAAACATCTCTGATGACTTGCCACCACAACACTTTTAAAAACGATGATGATTTTCATTCCTTCACACATGAAACGAAACGAAGTTTAATTCAAAGGGTCCAACAACGTCTCATAATGTGCCATTATTCTTCTTCTGTTACTATACGATCGTTTTTAAGATCAAATATTTAATCAGCCATCTTGGCTACGGAGGTAAGTCCAAGGGGGGTTGAGGATAGGCTTTACCTCCGTCGCCAATATGGCCGATGTTGAGAGTTGTGACTGACGAAACAGACAAAGTAAGGCAAGGGAAATTTTTCTGCCTTGGTCGCATTGTCCTTGTGGAGGGGTTACCTTATCGCGTTCTCGGAACGCATCCTAAGCTTGGTGTTGCTGTGGAACAAAGCCACAAATTTTCGAGGTATCGTGGGCGACTGCCGACTAGTGGCCCCTACTGGTTTTATCAGGGTTGTGACTAGAATGGACACCCCAAAGTCAGATTGTCATCTTCATTCAAAATACATGATAGGAGTCTTATAAGTAGGAAATAAGAGAAGAAAGAAAACAGGAGAAAACAACAGATAGTGTGTAGGACTTGAACCCGCGTCATTTGATGTATAACTACCCATCCGTATCCACTATCTACACCATCAGGGGCTAACTGGCGACACCGGTTAATTTTAACGTACTTTACATGGCGTTAATCATTACATTATTGAAAGCTAACCGTTTTTAAAACAGTGCTTAACCCTAATCATTGTACTTTGGAGCTAAACCGTGTATTCAACTCTTTTCTTTGCACAACTGTCTCTTACTCTGATTTCCCCACTTTTCTAAAAGTTCTCGTGCCCATTAAATTCGCCTAAATATAGTACTAGACTGGTGTAGAGTATAGCTTTCTGTAATAAACATAAGGTGTCCAACCTGATTTTGAGGTATTCATTCTAGTCACAACCGTTTTATCAGGGGCATTTCGTTTACCTTATCACGTTCGTCAGAACGCATCCTAAGCTTGGTTGTCCTGTGGTACAAAGCAACAAATTTTCGAGGTATCGTGGGTGACTGCCGTTTCCGCAAGTGACGAATGCGGATCCGTCAAGAATCAACGATTACGTCTAGTTTTGACTGTTTTGGCAGTTAGAGAGTAATTTAGCGGCCATTTTAGTTGCGATTTCCATCGTCAACTGGTGGTCTGCTAAGATGCTTCACTGTAGTAATCTATCATAATTTTTATTCGTGGTATAATTTCTCTTATAATCAGCGTTCGTCTTTTATTGAAGAGCATTAAAGCTAGTGTTTTTAGTTGGCACGAAAAATGTCCTAAAAGGTCGTCAAGTCGTACATTTTAAAAGGCACCAATGTTTCCGGGGTCTGAGGTTTTGTTCTTTTTTTTTGTAGTGGCTCCCTCGCTGGAAGAAGATCAACGTCGAGCCATTAAAATAAGAGAAGAAAAGACGCTACAGAGTTACACAGAAAAACTGGGTGAACATCCCTTTACTGTCACTATCTATAACAACATTTCAAACAACTTTTGTGCTCTGGGTGAATTTGATCAAGCCAAACCATATTCCGAGCATGCCTTAAAGATACGGCGCAAGTTGCTGAATGATCACATGGACACTGCAAAGTCCTTGTTTGACCTTGGGATGGTGCATAAAGAAAAGGGGGACTTCAGCAGGCAATTACTTACCTTTAACAAAGCATAAATAAAACATGCAGGAGAAGGTTCTAGAGGACAATCTAAAAAACCTTCAACGGTAAATTAAAACTACTAATGAAGATTAGATTAATCTAGGTAGCCATACAAGCATATAAATGCGACGAAAACAATGAAACAATGAAACAAACTGCCACCAAGTGTGATTGGCGCCTTGAATAGTCCAGTTTCCAATTAAAAATTACCGCTGAATATAAACAATTAACGACACATTCATACAGGAATAGCCTCGACGAAAAGTGTGGCTAAAGTGTTTGAAATTTGAATATATGTACACAATAGACAGAGTAATAAACCTGTCTTTTTCTCGTTGGAATTTGTGAATATATTACTTCAGATTGAGACTAAGGCTGTAAAAAATGCGTCTTCACCTCTTTAATTCAGCGGTCATAGCGAACTCGAAAATGGACTATTCGCCCCTATCCCTTAGCGTAAAACGATCATTTGAAGCCGAAATTGTCCCTTTGTTGTCGCATTGCGATGAAGCGAGGACGTTGACTCCCCATTTCTATTAGTGTTTTTCGCTCGTCATGGCTTCACAAAAAATATATATTAAGGAGAAAAAATATGGATGGTAGAAGTTGCATTTTTTCAGATATGAATGACGTGAAAACTCCTCATTTAGAGGCACAGAGAAGTATGAGATAATAATAAAACTGTCCACTTCCCTGCATTTTTTCAAGATCAGGTAATTTCAAGTCCTTTAATTGAAAAATCATAGCTCAAAAAAGCAAGCGGCATTAAATTTAAGTAAAATTCTTATTTTTTGCTTTTCGATAGCTATACGATCAGTTGTTCAAGTTTGGTGCATTTCGCACGCAACTGGGAAAAACACTCAGAATGATGGGCACACGTGGCGAAAAAAGCACGGTGACCCCATCTTTTTCTCGAGAAGTATACGGTTGCCACTTAATTTTACTGAAAAAATCCCCGACTTTTTCTTGACCAGGATTTCAGGCTTTGTGTCATGCATTTTATGCAGGCCACATTGATCTCTTACGACTACGGTATCAAGGAATACTAGCATTTGAAGGATCAAACATCAAGGGAATACAGAATGTCTTTTTCCGTCTATGACATGCCTAAAACGCGTGGCAGCCAAAATCTAAATTCGCCTGACTGAGCCAAGAACTGAGAATTTTTCCGACTTTTTCCTTATTTGGAAAAACTGTTGGTTTCTCCTCACCGTAGCAGCCCTGAGTTATAATATGAACATGTATCGCACCAAAACCCACCATTCTTTAGTTTTCGGTGTTGTTATATATCTTTACCATTCTTATGTTGAGTGCCGCACAGGGCATGCAGGTGTTGTATATAGTGTGCATATATTAACAGTCTCCTGGAATTGTACATCGTATTGATTAAACTCTGTGTGAACGTTAATTTTTGACATAGTCGATCCCCCTCCATCAGGTGAACACCTCTCCATTACCATACACACACTCCTTTTCATACCGAGGATACGAAACTTTATACTTTTTTCCCACCTATACAATACGGACACATTCCTAATGAGGAAACTTTACTTGGGTGTCAGTATTTATAAGCTTTGACTGTTCTCTGGAGCACGAGGAAAAATTTAGCTGGGGGTCGTCCGCAAGGGCCTTGAAGACCCTATCCCGTCTCAGACGAAAAAAAACGCAAACTTGCAACCCTATTCTCAGACTCACGGCCTCAATTGTATACCCCAGGCCAGACCAGAAGTGAAAAGCATGTGTTTTATTTCGGTACTCAATGTTATTACAACAACTATTATGTCCTCGCATATACAGAAACTACCTAGTTTGGGTGAAGCTAGAAAGATATAAGGCACCTAGTGGGTACAGATAACCTCATCTAAGACTAAAAAGATCAAAACTGGAAACCCATCACACACCTGGAAGTAAAAAATGGAACCCCAACCACATACTTGTAGAGGGGTTAAAAGGTAGTCTAGTCTACGGCAGAGTTCACACTTGGTACCTGGGCACGGTGCCCGAGTGCGATACTTGCTGGGCACTAAGGTGAACACACCCTTTGTTTAAGTGCTCACGCTAGAATTCGGTCTCGTTGCCGGCCGGCGCCCGAGTACAAGGACGAGACCTTGTACTACGGCACAAAAGTGGGCACCCGGTCCCTGTGCGCAGACCCTTTTTGATAGGTCTGGGGCAGTCCACGGCTTTGTACTCGCTGCTAAGCTCACCTTTCAAAATGGCGTCTGACAGGGCGAAATGGATGACTATGAACACAGTTGCTTATCGGGCACTCAAGGTGTGAACCCAAAACCGTTTTATGAAGTTATCCAGGTACTGATTCCCGGGTACCAGGTGTGGACAGCGCCTCAGACATTTTGCGAGGTTACTTTCAAAACAAATTTGCAAAAATTTCTTGATAAATAATGAATAACCCATTTTCGCGTTCACAATTACCGCCGAGTAAAAACACCACATATTCATTCAGAGTTAGTCTCAGTCTGAAGTAAAGTAAGTTTTACAACTCGAAAATTCTAAATTTGCTAACTGGTCGTCTCACCAGAAATTTGTGAGTATATTCACTTCAGATCGACGCTACCCTGTGAAATGAGTCTAGTACTTTTATTCAGCCGTCAAGACGAACGCGAAACTGGACGTTTTGTTTAAAACCTTCTACTTTACTTTTTCGTTTATTTTGTACATAGCTATGTAAGTTTCTCCAGTGTCGAGGAAACATGATTGTTCTTTAGTCGATAGAACATCAACAAGGATTATCAATTCAACGACTGCGAATATAGCTGTCTCTCAAAGCTTTACGATAATTGACCAGAAAACGTGAACTCGAACAAATTGATATGTGGAACCCCATGACAACCAGATAAGTTAGGTAAACATTGATCCACGTCATCAATTTTGGGGGTCGAATCGCAGACGTCTCACCCGCAGAACGTCTCTGACGGCGAGGAGCGAGGAAAGACGGCTGTATCAGCAGGCTAATCAATTCACGACGCTCAATAAAATTCAGTTTACTTCTTTCTACAATTGCGTTCATTCTACAGCTACTTCTTTAGTATATACTGCTAGACTACGACCATTCCCTCGTGTTTCTCAGTCTATTGGACGAAACGCGCGAGCCTGAGAAGAAAATGACCACTCTCTTTTCGCGTGCTTCATCGCTCGCATGTTTTGTGTCATATTTCAAAGAAAATCAAGACTATTCGCAGTGTAATCGTGGCGACCAGAGAAACCCGCAGTCTTAATTCTAAAGTTGCAAAATACGCATGCTTGGCACGTATGTAGCCAGCATTCGTTTACTACTTCCACTAGGAATGAATAAAATAAATAATGAAAGATGGTAAATTTTTAGCTGAGTGAAGAAATGAGAAGTGATGTTATCAACATGCCACGAGCATGGGACACAGAAAAATCTGCGTCCCCGACAGGAATTGAACGTATGACCTTACGTACACCGGTCAGATGCTCTAACTACTGAGCTACGAAGGACTCGTGGCGAGCTGGGCCATATACAAGGTTCAGGTATGACATGCGTCCTGCGTACTGCTAGGATCAGCAATGTCGAAATCGTTATGTGTGTCATAAATAAAGAAAGATGGTAGTTCGGTGAAGAAATGAGAAGTGATGTTATTAACATTCACCGAGCTTAAAATTTACCATCTTTCAGGTTTGCCGTTTGAGGTTCACGTTTGTAAGGCTATAGCACGCTCTAGGGGTAAGTGATTTGCCGCAAGGTCTTTGCGCCCCAAAACATTACAACACATTAAAAACTCGTTTGCTTAATAATGTTGCCCTTGAACACCTACAACTTCATAACCACTGGGTTGACCGGACTGGTTCGAATTTCCTGCATTAACATTCCCACCGTTCCTGGTTTCTGTTGTTTTTTTTCGCTTAATGTAGCTTCAGATATCCAAGCCACAAAATTGAGAAAAACACCAAACCATTTTGAACTAACGTGGAAACAAGGCTCTCACTAAGGAATGACTGTGCAACTACTAACAGAACAATTATTAACAGTACAAATGCAGCGCAACTTCCTAGAACAAGAATTAAAGACATCGAAAACGGAAACCAATACACACATCGACATCCTCTACGACCAGAACATTTATCACACCAAGGCCTGCAAGTACATTCGTGAGAAAGATAAAATTCGTAGAAATCACATGAAAAGAAAATGAGAACAGCAGAAACAGAAATGACAGCCACTAAAACTGAAATACCCCAAAATGGTTCTGTTATAACGCCTAGCAATATCCACAGTAAATGATGGCAAGCCATGAATATTGCTGGGTAAAGAATGAAGAAAGAAATAACATTTGTGCTTGGGTCATTCTCATGGCCCTTGGTCAAGCTAAACCAGCATAACGTTTTAAAATTAATATTAGCCTCATCGCTATAACAGATACGCCCCAAACACCAAACTACCCTCCGAGCCAATACAACCATCACACATATAAAGAATACCCGTGCATATTTCTGAGTGGTGCCGGAACATTTCCAGGCATAATTAATTAAGTAGAAACCCGAAATAAAAACAACTAAAGATAACAACATTACTGCTGCAACTTTGCTGTAATTTTTTTTCTTGTTCCACTCTTTTAGCTGCACTATAAGCCACTGTGAAGCAACTTGACTGAATATCAAACTAATCGACAGAATGTACCAACACACTTTATGAAGCAGGTTCTTCCAATCAGAAAAAGCTGGAGCTTTTCCATGACCCATGGTAACACACTCTACTGTGTTCAGACTTGGATCAGGAATATTTGGTGATATTGCTATGTCCTGCAACTACAAATCAAAGCAAGAACAGAACTACTAAAACAAAACACTCTCAAAAAGTTGCCTAAAATAGCATAAAAAACGACAAATCCAAGACGATGACAACTACTATTACTACTGCTGCTTCCGCTGCAGTGGCTGTTCTTCTTCCCACTGTGCTGCTATTGCTGTTGCTACTGGGTATGTAGTACTATTGCTAATGCTGCTGCTACTAATCGTTGCCATAATTTGCTGCTGCTACTAATGATACGAAAAGCACGGCTACTGCTGCCCCTGCTTCTACTCATCTACTGTAACTGTATTGCTGCCACTACTACTGCTGATACTGCAGCACGTCTGCTGTTGCTGCTACATAACTTCATTCCCAGTATTCTCTGGTTCTCTCCCAATCATCCCCTGGAGTGTGTGTGTGTGTGTGTGTGTGTGAGAAAGACCATCTCTCCCTTGCACTTTGGGCTACCAGTACAGTCAAACACCATTAATATGGACAGAGAGGGGCTATAGAAAGTGTTCGTATTGACGGGGTGTCCGTATAATGTGGGTTGAATTTAGAAAAGATGTAAGGGCTTTCTTTCCCCAGAGACAATTAGAAAACTGTTTGTAATATCGCGGTGTCCATATTAAGTGGGTGCCCATATATAAAGCGAGGTTTGACTGCAGAAGAGAACACTGAGAATGAGGTTGAATGCCACTACCTATGCTATTGATGTCGGCATGGCTACTGTTACTGCCACAGTTACTGCTCAAAACCACCAGGAGTGCCAATGCAGGGACTGGAAAAGCCCATGATAATTTCTGCTCACAAAATAATATGTTATGGAGAAAAATAAACAATGACCTCCACAGTTTCCCTACTACCATTGAGCTTTGTAAATGCACCATATAAAAAATAAGGAATTTCATAATGATATTATTTAGAGAGATTTGTGAAATGACATCTGAGGAACAACAACAGAAATTTCTTACTGATGACATGTCATAACCCAGATCTCGGAAAACTGCTTCTGATTGGCCGTGCCATGAAAACAACATCCATTGGTACACATGGAGAGGCTCAATATTCTATGTTCCCAGACAAAGGACACCAGTGCCACTAATATTTTAGTAACCTTTTTTTTTAAAGGCATTTACTGAGACAAATTTATGATTTGAAAATGCATAATACTTTTCATTATCATTCGAAGCAAATTTTCTTCCTTTTCATTGGCTGAAAGCCCACCACGTGACCTGTGAATAACTACCTACAAATAAGGTCTGCTCATGCGCAATTGTGTCATCCTACTGTGTTTGGCTGCAAATAATACTTTGCTCATGCATGAAAAAAACCACCCTTTTCTCCCTTTTGCGATCCCTTTTTCGTGAAAATGGCAGCTTTCCAAAGATATTTATCAAACAACAAACTTGGTCACTGAATGATAAAACAATATTATTGAACTCGGTTATTGAAAAATATCACAATTTGTCAGTGTCTAGCAGATCAATTATTTGACTCAGCCTTTGGTTTTCGGCAAATAACAGTCCATTTTACAGTTACAGTACAGGTGGAAACGAGGCTGGAGTTGACCTTGTTTTGATACAACCCTTCCACCTTTATTGTGTTTATCAAAGTTGTTCTTTTGCTAACTAGTATTTTTAGCACAATTTTCATAACAAAAGAAAAGAGGTTTGTATCAAAACAAGGTCAACCTCAGCCTCACATTCACTCAGAGGCTAGGGTACTTAGCTCATAACAGTAAAATGGTCTATTGATCTGCTCACCACTGACAAATCACGATATTTTGCTCAACCACGTCCACTAATTTTTAATTATGAACTGAAAAACTTGGAAGTGTAAGCTATATCTGTATCAGCTGTTTTTGAGAAAAATCACCATCTCCAGCAGAACACTTCAGGGAAATGCAGAAGAAAATCAGTTACAACAAAAGGGGTAATCACTACTTCCTTGATTGCACCTCAGTATGTTCCTTCCACCCTTGATGATGATGATGCTGATGAGGATGAGGATGATGATGAGGATGAGAATGAGAATGATGATGATGATGATGATGATGATGATGATGATGATGATGATGATGATGATGATGATGATGATAAGTTAACAATAATAATGAAATGGCTAAAAGTCCTACCGTAGAAAGGAAGTAGATCATGGTGTCAGCAGAAAATCCCCTGCAGAACTGTGGCAATGTTAAGTGCAGCTGTCTTTCTCGTCTGTTTGGATAAATAGCCCACAAAGAAAACGCATTCATGGAAGCCAAGCTTATGTTTCCTCCACTAACATACAAACAGGATGCACTCCACGTGAACTTGTGTGTCGTGATCTTCGTTTCTATAGTTTCGAGGACATTTTCCCCTGTCTGTGAGATACTGGAAGTACTACCATTGATCGGAGATTCGGACGATCCGGCTAAATGAGTGAGATTGTCGCTACCACGTAGGAAGGTAACGGTGATCTTGATCAGCAAAGACGGCAAATCCACAGACGGATAAACAGCCTTAGAAATATTATAGTAGTTATCATATGGCGGCTGCGATGAAATTAAATAGCGTTGTATATGCTCTTCTCGTTCCATGCACGTTGCAGACATCTCCTGTGATCCTGTCAACAGTACCAGAAAAGCCAACTCCACCGGCAACAGACCCATGTTAGTTCCTGAATTTGTCTTAGTCCTGTGCATGTTTTGGCACCTCTCTCTATGTCACGCTAGACTGGAATTTCTCAGTGTTCGTGAGAGATCGTGACGTTTCGGGTTAATCGAGAGAGCCTGGGAAGAGCAATACTAAATTTACTTCATTGTAACGCGGGCTCATTTTCCGAATCGAGCCACTGGACATGATTTGGGTACCGGCGAAGGTGGTATTTCGAGGTATTGTGAGAATGTGACCAGACGTGGCAGTATACTGAGAGTAAAGCGTCGCTCACAGGCCAGCCAGTTACATTTATACTGCGCCAGCGCCTCAGGTGGGCAGTCAGTCGTGTCGAGGAGGGTTGGCACGTACGGAACTAACTCTGCTGAAAACCTAGCGTCCGACCCTGCATAACGTCGCTTTTTAATTCCTCCCAAGCAAGATGGTTAGGATTGGCGAGGGACAAGGAATTCCCAGCAATGAATTTAAAAAGGCTATCTACGCCATCAGAGGAAATAATCGTCAGACAAAAGGAGTGGCATGTGCGGTTGCTATTGAAGGACAAAACGAAGGCTCTGTTCTGTCAGTCACTGACACTTGGAATGACCCAGAACCGATCACGGGATGTCTATTGCACCGCCATTCAAGGATAGAGCAACACTTCAGAGACTATCAACTCAAACCTGTAAGCATCAGTCAACGTGGGGACTTTTCGCTAGTCATATGTGATGGGAAAGACAGCAGCTTTAAGATAAAGAGTCTCCATAAAAAGTGTTTGAGTGGTCAGCAACTCGAGAGGGACTTCCGGGTTTACACGATTTATCGAGATAATGTATAGATCTGGAATTAAAATACAGCAATGGTGGTCACAATCTTATTGACAACAACTTACCTGATCTCACATTATGCGGATGCCCCATCATTGATGGAGATAACTCTGAAAAATATCTTGTGGGAGTTTTGACGATCAACGCGAAGGGCAAAGCTACTCCTTGTTTCCTGTCTAATTGGGTATTAGGTGAGTAATGTTAATGATGAGGAATGAAAAGTAGGTGGGTTGAGTTTGATCGTCCGGGTGAACGTAGTCCTGAATAGGACTGTTGTTGTTGACAGTGACTGACGTTTCGACAACCTGTGCGGTAGTCATCTTCAGAGTCAAAGTGAGTTGTATCACGTCAGTTGATGGCATTATACTCTATTATGCAAAATTATTTGTATTTGTGATTTTTTTGCTAATCAAAGGAGCCCTGTCTTTTTCTATATTCATATTAATATCTTTATATGAGCAGTGTCTACATATGTTACTCAAGTAAAGCCAGTTTTTGTGATCGTGGACTAGTGTCTAGAGTACTGCTAAGGTCAACACTGCAGATACTGTCAATCAATACATTGACTGTGATTATAGAACATCTCCTTGTCACATTTACTTTTACAGTCAAACCAGGTTGAGTGTTCCCGTCGCGAGCAAACTAATGAATTCATTAATGGAAAAATGATTTCGTTTGTTGATTCAACAATCCATTCATAAAATGAATAATCCAACAGTCATATTGGACCTCGATTTAATATTAAATGTTGATTTGGTTTATGAACAAAATCTACCTGCTCTTTATTCTTGTCTGTTGAGTTCAATCGTATTTGCTTCCCTTTTCCTGCCGTTTACGATTGGGTTTTTAATTGCCTTTTATCAAAGTAACAGCTAGAATAGACAGACCGCAAAAGCAAAGAAACTGACAAAGGCTGGGGATCAAAAACCACCAATCACCCCACATACACTGACCTCAGTTTGACTATTGTGTTTTCTAAGAGGTCAGGTCCATTGCACTGATTACTGGAAACAAAATGTCGTACATGTAACAGTTTGTCTGGGTTTGAACTTCACAACTCGCCCAGACAAAACAAAATTCTGAGGTTGACTTGTGGAAAGTGTAGTTTTTCAAAAAAACAGTAATTGAATCAACATTCGATTATGGAATCGAGGCTAAATATGAATATTGGATTGTTCATTTTATGAATGGATTATTGAATCAACAAACAAAATCATTTTTCCGTTAATCAATTTGTTAGTTCATTAGCTACGGGAACGCTTGACCTGGTTCGACTGTAAAGGACTTAGTTTCCTTTGTCAACGCATATAGCAATTTCTGTTAGCTGAGTTTTGTTTTGTCAGTGTGTCTTAAGATCATTGAAGTACATCATTAACTTCAATATTTTTAAACTGAAAATGTACATCATTCTGAGTAAGAGGGTGCATTTATTTAATAATTTCTTATCACAGATCCGCCTGAATTCACCTCACACCAACAGAGTCAGACATTGATGCAAGAATCAAGTGTAACCTTTTCAAGTGATGCAAATGGTGTTCCTGAACCAACATTTTCTGGGACCAAAGATGAATCTTCTGTAACTCCCGACAATAGAATCAGTTTATTAGCAGATAACAAGCAACTGAGCCTAAAAAATGTGAATGAGACAGACAGTGGAGAATACAGATGTGTGGCTGCCAACAGTGTGAGGACAGTTAACTCCAATGCTGCTACATTGACAGTAGCATGTAATTAAGAATACCTTTACTCACTTTTTGCTTATGCCCAATTTTTATTGCCGTACAGTCCTGCAGAGCTAACTAAAATGGTCTTTCAATATCCCTTCCATTTCTTTTCTTCTGGTTTGCCCCTGCAGCCACTACATATGAGCTTAGTTGATCAAAAATACTAAAAAAAGGAAAAGAAACTTGTCCTTGACCTCAGTTGCCTTTCACGTTTTTAAAAATTCAGAGTCAAAACTGTTAGAAAACACAATTTTTTGTTTGTTTTCTTTGCTGATCAAGGGAGCCTTTCTATTTCCATATTCATATATCTGTATAAAACCTCTTTTGAGGCAACACTGGTGAGTAGTATCTAACAACAACAACAACAACAATTTTTATTCTTGCATGCACTAGTATAAACAAAGTAAAACGAAGAAGTTCAGTGATCTAATTAACTACTCAGTGCTTACTGATGTACTTAATTGATTAATATAACAATGCACTAAAATAAGGAGTCTCTCTTAAAGATAAGTAACGCAGAAAAGGAAAAGGAAAAATTTAAAATTTAACATTTAACATTGTTAATCATGATTTTTAACGTTCTTCACATTTTACTCGACCAAACTCAGTTTTTACGTCTCCATTGGTTAGGTGGTGAAAAGAACATCTCAATTTTGCTTTTACCGTTATTAAAGACTCTGTTTCCTGTGTCAACAACAGCAATCTGTCATATATTTTTAACCCAAGGTTTTAAAACTATGTTGTTCCTTGAAATTAGAGATTTTTTATTACTTTTGTCATGTAGAGAGACTTGAAATGTATTTGTATAGGTAATAGCATGATTGGTAGTGATATTTGGCGTAAATACCACAAGTGATATTTCAAATTTGATATCCGTAATTTCATGAGCCGTTAGGCGAGTGAAATTTGAGACAATTTTGAAATATCATGAGTGGTATTTATGGCAAATATCACGAACAAATCATGCTATTATTTGTTTATACTACTACCCACAAAAGATTTGTAATTTTCACATGTAGGTTTTTCAAATTAAGCTGAAATACCACATCTCTAAGTCAATCAAATTGCAGAAATTTCTTACGTAGTAGTATAAACTGATTAAGTACTATTACCTGTTCTAAATACGTTTTAGCAGTGTCTCACTACCACAAATTAAAGAGCGTCATTTAAATTAAGCCGTTGTTATCAATTGTTAGCTAGCCATCAAACTTCACTCAACATATGCCATACTTCTGCAAGATGTATAACAATGTTTCTTCATAGAAGAGAGAAAACGCATAAAAAAGGGACAAAAATGCAAAAACTTTTTCCAGAGGTAACAGTAGCACAATCTTCTCTGTTATAGGTTCTTATTACGTCTTCCTTAGCATTTAAAAATGTTCTTTTTGGTTGTAATTATATGCTGAAAAGCCCTTGGAGAGCATATGAAAAAGAATGCCTATGACTCTCTTTCAGATTTGGTGAGCGAAAGGGTTAAAATCACTGCCACCAGATGTTTTTGCTTTTGACTTTTTTGTCAAGATTAGTTATTCTAGTGAATAAGTAACAATTATTCAAAACATTTTTAAAACCTTTTTACTCATAATAACCTTTAGTCATATACTTAACTTGCAGACCAAAGTGGGGCACAAGACCTTGATTATGTGGACGCTCAAAGCGAGCCGACTGAAAACCAAAGAAAGAGGCTGTCAGTTAAAGTCACAAAGATACCTTATGTTGTGCTTAGTGAAGTCTGTAAGATGATGAACATTAAAGATTTCTTAAATTACAACGACTTCAGAGGGCTTGCAGAAAAAATTGGGTTAGGAAGGAATGATGCAGAGCTCTTCGATCAGAGATCCAAAAATCCCACTGATGAAATTTTAAAGGAATGGGCGAGAAAGAGTTACGAAGAAGCAACGGTTGGAAAACTGATTACATTGTTGAAGGCGATGGAGAGAATGGATGCAGTAAAGGAGCTTGAAGATTGGGTGAATGAGGAATCATCATAG